TTACTCTATTTTTCATTCTTTAATGATGATGCCATGATTTGTATTGGTTTTAGTTATCTTTAATAAAATAGACTTTAAAGCCATACAATAAGTTTAATAGTTAAAGAAGTGTAAAATGTATATAATTGTTTGGTTTTAAGATAAATTATATCTATTATGACTTCATAGTTTACTAGAAGTATACATTTTGTATTGTTTTATTATAAACTTATTAGTCGGAAAATCCATAAAAATAATGTGATTTTCAGAAATGTTTTCGTAAGTACGTCAAGGTTTTAAATATATTTTTTTTACTAGCACTAAAACTGATTGGTTGTAATAGGAACCTTTTAAATAGTAAATTAGAATGATTAATCTTAGTTGTAAATAAATTTGTTTATTGTTTGAAAAAGGGAAAGATTGGGAAATTCGTTGCAGAAGCGATTTCGGATAATGGAGGGTAAATGCGCATTCGGTTACTAAGTGAAGTTTTAACGATTTAACAAGCATTAAAACGGTGAAAGGGGATGGAAGGAGTGAGACAGACAGAGACACAGACACAGTGTTAGAGAGGGTTTCCCTTTTGTACCTAATTAAATCCGAACAAGAAATAAACACGCAGACAAATTCGCATTTGGGGAAACTTCTTCCTGCTCGTCTACATTTCCATTGCTCTGTTGAATTTCCATCCATAACCAATTACTGGCCATTCATTAGCCGAACCATCCGCTGCTGCTGCCGCTTTCCATCTTTCGTCCATGCGCAATGCCTATCGATCCGCATTTTCCTGGAGAGCAATTTTTTAAAACTCCCTTTCTCGTTTTCTCTCTCTCTCTCACGTACATACACTTGCGCACATACATACACTTTTTTTGTTACTTTTCGTGTACTTCTCTCTCTCTGTGTGCGCGTTCAAAAGCTCGACCAGTGAGAGAGATACGGTCACCAATTACGACTTGAACTTTCTTCAGGCAAAAAAAAAATTCAAATAGAAACAAACAGTAGATTGATTTTCTCGACTTTAAACTTATTAATATATTTACAAACAAAAAATAACAAGCAAAATGTTATAAAAGAAGTTACAGAAGTTTCAAATTCTTTACTTTAAAAGTTTATCCAATTATTAATGAAATATTATTAATATAATATAAGTAAAAAAAAAGTTGTATTATTAATATAAAAGTCAATCTAATCAACAAAATACTAATTTATAGCATACTTTTAGAGTGTCATAAAAGAAGCGTTACGATTTTACATAACTTTCAAAGAAAATAATTCAAATTGATTTCTCTGTACTTTCAATGTTTAAGCAATATTTGTAATTCTTTGTGAAATATTGTTTGTTGTTGCTTATAGTACTAATAAATATAAAAAATGAGTCTAAAATAATTAAACTAAGTGAAAATTTTATATTATTTATTAATTCTTAAAAAAAATGATTTTCATTTTTAATGAATTACATCTGGAACTATAAATTTGATGATTATTTATTGTTTAAATTCTTGAAATATCTTTTGAGAACTGTAACAATCTCTATTATCTTATTTGTTAAATAATTAAGTGCAAATGATCAAAAAAGATATAAAATTTAGACAACTTAAAATATATTAAAGACAATCAAATTATGATGTGTTTCATTTGCTTTTCCTATGAGTTTCTTTCAATTTTTTTCGTATTAATATAAAATTTTCATTTACAAAATCTTTATTGTTTTGTTTATTCAATAAATTAAGTGCATTTTATCAAAAATTATATAAAATTTAGACAACTTAAAGTATATTAAAGACATTCAAATTGTGATGTGTTTCATTTACTTTTCCTATGAGTTTTTTTCGATTTTTTTCGTATTAATATGAAATATTCATATAAACAATCGTTATTATTTTGTTTATTGAATAATTTAAGTGCACATGATCAAAAAATATATAAAATTTAGACAACTTAAAATATAATAAAGACAATGAAATTGTGATGTGTTTCATTTGCTTTTTCTATGAGTTTCTTTCGATTTTTTTCGTATTAATATGAAATGTTCATATAAATAATCATTATTTTTTTGTTTATTGAATAATTTAAGTGCATATGATCAAAAAATATATAAAATTTAGACAACTTAAAGTATAATAAAGACAATGATATTGTGATGTGTTTCATTTACTTTTCTATGAGTTTCTTTCAATTTTTTTCGTATTAATATAAAATGTTCATATAAACAATCGTTGTTGTTTTGTTTATTAAATAATTTAAGTGCATATGATCAAAAAATATATAAAATTTAGACAACTTAAAGTATAATAAAAACAATCAAATTGTGTTGTGTTTCATTTGCTTTCCCTACGAGTTTCTCTCGATTTTATTTTTCCTATTGAACGTAAAATGTGCATATAAACAAAAAAATAAAAATAAAAAGACGTTAATCGAGAAATAATGCTCTTTTAATTCCTCGAAAAGTTTCGTGGCGCTCGTCTGCATCGACGACGCTCATAAAGGATAATGAGATAATCCGAAAATTACGCGGCTCGAACTCAATTACAGAGTCAATACTTTAATGCAGTCTCGGATTTGTATGTCTCAGGAAAAGGAAAAAAAATGGGGAAATCTGGATGTGCCGGGCTTCGGGGCATATGAACGTAAGAAAATGGAAGCTAATTGCGGAGAGTGGGTGGATTATTGCTCTAATTGAAATGAAAGTATCGGCCAATTAAAACTTTCGTTTTTCCCCATAAAACTGCATAACTCCAAAAGGTATTCCTCATTATTTTGACTACTTGTTTTAGTTTTAGTTTTTTTTTTTTGCAGCTTCTTGCGTTTCTCCAACGAACCATCTACGAAACAACCAATTACGTCGAGTTATAAGAGGGCGAACGATGAATGCAATCAAAAAAAAAAGTAAAAAAACACTACACATTATAAAAGAGATTGCATCGATTCGTATTATTCGGGGAAACTGCATTCGCAAGAACTGATAATAGTTTAATAATGCGGTTTTTCTTTGTTAACTGTGTGCGTCGAACGTAATGTTCCGCCAAATGGATTAACAAATTGCAAAATAAATAAGTAAACGCAAAAAACTGCCGTCTTCAGTTCCGTTGTGTGGACCCGCTTTGAAGAAGCCGCCTTTGGAAAGGCTCTCCACCTCAGCTTCTTGTACTTTTTTTTTGTGTTTTTCATACACACTTTCTCTGCTCTATTCACTGTAAAATATTGTTAAGTGTATTATGTTGGAAAAATAGAAATAAACTAAGATATGACAAAGAAATGTTGGAACCTTGGAATTCATTTTTTTCCCCCGCAGTTTACGATTATGTTTAGTGCAAGAAATAATAAATCAATTTGCTGTGAAAAGGAAAGAAAATGTTGTATTCAAATTAAAAAAAGAGTGAAATAAGCTGTATTATAAATGAACGTAATTGTATGAAATTTTCTTTGAACAATAAATAAATTAATTTTATGTGAATTCAACCGTAGTAATCTATCTAAAGTTCAGTTCTAATATCTAAGTTGATTGCAATAAGTATACATTACACCTTCCAGAAGATTATATTGTCTTTTTACTTATATTTTTTACTTTAATAGCTAAGAACAAACTACTTTGTTACAAGTTAAAATTAACAAATACAAACTTAGTATTAATAAGAAAATAAGTTACCATTTCCCGAATCCATTTCATGTATATTCTCCATACAATGTTATTACTCTATTCTATTGACATTGCGTATTGACAATCGCGTAACTGAAATGTACACATGAAATGTCAGTTTTGAGTTTTTGCAAATCAAATTTCTGTGTATTTAATAATTCCACATATTTGTTTTATGAACGCATTCATTAAAATGTACCAATCATAATGATTATGTACGATTTTTTTGTATTTAATTTATCAATTTACAGTTTGATTACGCAATACATTTGCTATTGATATTTGACATCTGTCATTTGATTTGACATATGTCAACAAATATTTTCAACCTAAAACTATCATAGTACTACGAAAGTCTACTATTTTCTTTTGTAATCAGTAAGATTAAAGCTTTATTAAGCGATTAAATTAAAAAAAAAACTAATTTATTTGTTTGGATTGAGTTAAACAAAAAAACAGTAGCAACACTCGTTAATCCCATAATAATGAGTTTAAAGTTCAACAGCCTGCTGAAAGCAGCCGTATTCCGTGTCAATAATTGCATTAATAGGAGATTTCCTGTGATTTATTTGCTCTCTCCGGTCATTTGAATAATTCTACACACATGAAAAATAAAGTTAAAATAAATTGTGCGCGCAGAATATGCAGAGGATATTTTTGAGAATTGAACGAATGTATTTGCGCGTTTTGCTAGAATGATGAAGGCGAAAAGTATGCGTACACTTTCTAACTGAAAACAGATTACACCTATAGAATTAGGTACATGGGAGCACTTCATAAAATTGCTTTTACCGACCCAATTTTTTTGTTTTTATAAAAATTCTACATTTATTCAAGTTTCAAACATAATTATTAATATAAAGTGTGATTGAGTGTCTTTTGGTATTGCTCAAGAGAAAGATATAAAATGAATTTGTATAGTTTTGTTGTATCAATTTAATCTGTTTTATTTTACAAAATTTACATTGAAAATTGTTGAATAACATTGTTATTTTTGATTTTTCAAAAACTGCATAAATATGAAGTTACGTTTATAAAAAGAAAAAAGGAATTTGATTGAAAGAAAAACCCAAATCTTAAAAATTATGAAAATTGTGAAATTACAGATTCTTGGAAATTACAGTATAATATTTAACATACTTCGATCCTAAATGAGCCAATAAAAATTGTTAAATTTCAAATTTATGTTTTAATTCTTGACAAATTGGAACCGAATTCTGAATAGATTTCTACCTCCTTTTTTTTTGAAAATTGTTACGTTTTCATTCTTGAAGATTGAAGAGGATAAAAGTTATTTGAAATATTATATTAAAACTTTTATTTGCAAAATGTTTTTTGCTATAAAATAATTTTTAAATATTTGGAATCCGAATGGCGCTGATAAACATCTTCGTTCAGGTTTTATGGTTTTGGTATTTTATAGAAAACTGGTTGGACACCTTGCAAACTCGAGAATGTAGGAATATTTTGTTTCTGTTGCTGCTTTTGCTGCTGCAAAAAAAAAAACAAGATAAATTAATGTTTTATGACCTAATAAGTTTGTACTACTTCTTACTACATTAAACTACTTATCAGGTATTTTTTTTTTAAATGTTAAATTCTATTAAATAACTGTAAAATTTTGTAAATTTAAATAGTTGAAATAATTTAATAATTGTTATAGAAAAATTGAAATTTTATTGAAGAAAATTAAGACATTTTATATAAGTCTACAAAAATTCCAATTTTTCTTAATATTCCTCAAGTTGTTAATAAATGTTAGTAAATTGTATAATTAATGTAAGTAATTACTGTAAAATTCATCATTATTTTCTAATCTTACGTATTTGGTTGAAAGTCATCTCAAGTTGGATTAATGCAATAATTTTGATTTGAAAGAAACAACAAGTATTAGAAATTAAGCAATCAAACGATAATTTGTTTGATTGCAATGGCAATGTTTACGTTAATTGAAGCACTTTGTAGATTAGTTATGAAGTCAAAAAAAAAATGAGATTATAATATTTTAAAAAGGTTATTGAACTACTTTCAAGGCAACTTCTTGTAGTGCAAAAATATTCGACTGATGATGACATGGCAAAACGTAATTTGGTTAAAAACGAGAATAGAGAACTTAAAAATAATTGAGGTTGAAACAAAAAAAAAACAAAAAAACAAAAACGAATCGCCTTTCTTTATTTGCTGAAGGAACCGGTGATGTGATCCAAATAATAAACGCGCGAATAAAATGTGTTCGCTTCTTGATGGATGCAAAAGTTGAATGGGAACGGTTTTATAATTGATTTAGGTGCGGATTGAAATGGTTTTAATGCATTATTAGATGCGAGATTGATTGACAAATGTATTAGAAGCACTTTGCAGAAAGAAGCGAAAAATATAAAATGAGAAGAAACAAACAAAAAAAAGAATATGGACACGAAGGCAATTATACTTTCTAATTTTTCGCCAATACTACCCGAATGGAGTGCAATTAAGTCCGAGTCGTACAAGACAGGCCTTCTTTATATCGGGTTTCTGAGGATTAGCGAAGAAGTCCTGGTTGGCGTTGATAGTTGCTGCAGAGGTTTCGATTAGCAGCAGCGCCGTTTGCGTGTAGGTTCTTCTTGCAGAACACGGCTCGAATAAATATAAAATGGCCATCCGATTAATTGGACACACAAAGTCGGGGGATGGAAGGAGACGACGCATGGTGGAGAAGAAGAAAAAGAAGGAACGGGCGATTTTCAGGAATGCTGCCGCTGCTCGCTTTCTGCTCTTGCATGTTGTTGGTTTGTTGCTTGCTTGCTTGCTTGCATAGAAGAACGGCTGTTCGAAAAATCGTTCCCATCATCAGGCTTCGGTTGGTAACATCGCTGCGAATCGCATCGAATCGCACAAAACATCACCATGTTTCGTGTGTGTTGTGCTGTGTGTGTATCTTGCACACGTCCAGCGATTACACCACTACGGTCATCGGGTCACAATTTGGCCAAGTTCAAGGGCGAGATGCAAAAATTTCGCGCGTGAGAACCTCGCGTTTCGTCTACGTTCTCGAAATAGCAATATTTTTTTTATATATATTTATTTGGAACTGGTCTAGGCGACCGAACCACTTTCCTCTGGAAAAACCCGAAATTCTATACAATATAAACTTTCTAATAATTACATTAACAGAAACATTACATAAAAAAAACACACACTTTACATATTTATAATCAAATAATTTGATTGAGATTTTTTTTTTGTACATGTTTAGAATTATATCGAAACCACGTACAGTCAAAGATATTAAATCTATTAATAAAAGTGTATATTTAATGATATTTTCCGCAGCTGTTATCTGCTATAGGAAATGTAAAAAATAAATATAACTTAAAAGAATTATATGTTTCATAGTGCAATCTAAATGCGTCAATTGCGGCTAAAATTTACTTGCTTTCCAACTAAATATAATGATAAAGTTTACGAAAGTATAGCATAAAAATTGTATTTTTGGAATTAGTTAGAAAACTGTTGAATCAATTTAAATAGACGTAAATCACTTTGAAATTATTTATTATTATCTATCCATTATTTATACATTTTTCTTGGTCCTAATTTGGGCTAAGACCTTAAAATCTAATTTCTTTTTACTGTATTCCAAATTTTTTTGTAATTAAAAAAAAATGTAAATTTTCTTATTTAAATTAAAAACAATAAATTTGTGTGTTTTTTCTAAGTTATTTGTGTAAAAAGACATAATTTCTATACTAATTAACAAAAGTTTTTACCACTTTTCTTAAATTCTAAATATAATAATTAGAACTAATTGTTCTTTTTTTTAAAATTAGTATCAATCTTTATATAATAATGGAAGTTGAATGAATTATTGCTAGTTGATGAATGTTATAATATAGATGTTGTTTAGTTTTTTTTTTAATACTTTTGTTAATTATCATATGAGACTTAGTTATAAAAATTTGGAACATTAACTTTTTCTTTTTTTAAAAAAAAAACATGTTTCGAATTTGAAAGACTACATAATTCATCGATTTATGTGTTAATAACTGGTTTCATTCCATGCGAAAAAAAAAGGAAACATGATTAAAAGATTAATTTAATTAAATAAGCTGACTAGACATTCAGTATTTCTGTAATCGGTAGACATTCCACTTTTTTGCTCTTTTAAAGTTAATAAATTAATAATAATTTTAGACAATTTTGACTTTGTCTTCAGACAATGGTCTTGGAAAATTATTAGTTTAAAATATAGAGTATTTAGTTAGAAATATTATAATGATTATATAAAATTTGCTTTAAAGTTTAGAACAAAATAAATTATAAAAGTTTAAAGCAAATTATTAGAAAATGAACAAAAATGTTGAGAAAAGTAGTGAAACTTGTAAGTTTTTTTTGTGTTTAGTGTAATTATATATCTATATAATTTTGGTTGTTATCAAAAAATAGGAAATAACTTTACTTGTAATTAGAAAAATATAAAGTAGCGACACACAAAGTAACTAAAGTAAATCATCAATACTTATTGTACTAAGTTTAATTTTGTAAAGTTTTGATGTGTGTGTTAAATAAAGATAATGCTGAAATGTGAATCAATGGATAAAAGCATCAGTATTCTGGTGAGACGAGAAGGCGAAAGGAAAAAACGTTAATTGTGAGGATTATGGAAACAGGAACGGCAAAGTAATTGGTTGTTTTGTGCACGGCGTAAACAGTAATGCATTGTGCGGCGTCGCGACGCTCTTGTTCCCGATGTCTCGGGGCCGCGCTGGATTCCTCGGAGGCGGCACAGGCATCGGTCGAGACTTAAAAGAGAGATCGTTGACCGTTGGCGTCGGGAAGAGTGGCGCGACGCGTCGCGGCGGGAATAGCGCGCGCCGTTTTATTTATGGATCGGACACGCCGCGATGCATACAATTTATTTTAAAAAGGGCGTCGCGACGACACCTAGGATGCAGCGTCCCCCAAATAACTTCCAACTGAAAACGATAGATGGCAGCACTGAGATGCATCCGTAGGATACTTCTCTGTACGTCACTTCGAACGATAGATGGCGGTAGCTTTATCCGAAAGTTAGTAAACGTTTAATCTATTTAAAATTAATCTATATTTAATTTGTTAGTCGGTGATGTAATTATCTTAAGGGGTTGTCGAAAAATTCATGAAAATCTGTAAAAACTGAAAAAAAATACGAAAAAAAAATTCTAAAGCTCATAGCAAGCGACTCGACGATAGCACAAAGATGATTGTATGCGCGTTGGAAAGGTGAGATATTCAACTTTCATACGAGTGGTCGATGATGTAATTATCTTAAGGGGTTGTCGAGAAATTAACAAAAGACTGTAAAAACTGAAAAAAATTGCAAAAAAAACGTTCTGCAGCTCATAGCAGGCGACTCGATGACAGTACCAAGATGCCAATAGGCTCGTTGGAAAGCTGAGAGATTCACCTTTCATACGAGTGGTAGATGATGTAATTATCTTAAGGGGTTGTCGAGAAATCCACGATAAACTGAAAAGAGTGAAAAAGAAACGTCGTTTCTCTGTTTTTTCAACTTCTACAGCTTATAGCAGGCGACTCGATGACAGTACCAAGATGCCAGTAGGCTCGTTGGAAAGCTAAGACATTCAGCTTTCATACGAGTGGTCGATG